GCTGTGTTTCTCCTTGAGAAGTACGATAACTCCGTTGACGTTCAGCATTGGATGCGTGGATGCGAGGACGCCCACGCACACGATTTCCGTGTTGCTGATTTAGTTCCATTTCACTTTTCAAATCCTGAATTATTAATTGTTACATTCTTAGCGACATTTAAAAAGCAGGTTTGTAACAGGTGTCAATGATAAGTTCTTGTTTGACACATCTACACATTTGCGACGCAAGCTTCTCTATTCGTATCGCAAAACATTTGGACGCTTAGCTACGATCGATGCAAAAGTCAGCATTGATTGTTGTTAGTGTAACGCAAATTCATAACATTACAATGTTTTCTATGTGTTTTACACATGGATATGCTTGTATTTTGTTTACCACAATCAGCCGAAAGTAAATTTGTCGGTTACGATCGGTAAGGTATTTGTAGGTTACGATGATAAGGTATGTCGTTAAGAAAATTGATCGTATGTAAATCAGCTCAAAAGATTGCAAAAGCTAATTTGTTAGCACCTATATTCCTTGGAGTCAATCAAAAAAACGACCACTTACTGCTTTTGCGTTTCAAACGATAGCATGCATAACAAAAACTTGCGAACTCAGCATTTTTCCAATAAAGGCAACTGAAGAAAAGCGGCCGCATAAGATTTCAGCAAAAGGTCATCAGTCGGACTTACAACTCAATGCCTTCGCGGCGTTGGCGTGGAAAACAGAACTGCTCAGAAAGGAACCTAATTGAAAATACATACTCGAGAGCCAATGGTAAATTGTCAGGTATACTCTAAAGCAAAAAATTAACCTAAATTTCTCCTGAAAACTCCCAGAAGCGTCTTAACTCTTAACTCCATTTTGAGCAGCAAATATTAGGCGCAAAATTCTGTCGCATCATTCTTGAAAAACTTCTTGCTCTCCAAACGACGCAAACTTGACTTTTCGAAAATTATAACTTTCTGCAGAAACCGTCAAGGAACTCTGCACTGTTGTAAATTGTGGAAAAGACTTACTGTACAGCTTGCTCGGGATTCTGTCGCCGCAAGTTCCAAATTTTTAGCAGCCTAACTCAGAATGACCGAAAAATGGTTTTATTTTCCTGCTTCGATCCCAAAAACTGCCCCCTCATGAGAGAGCATCAAAAGCACTGCCACAAAGAAAAGGGGTTCTTCTATTTAGCAAAATTAGTACAGATCTAGAGAGAGCATAAAATTATGATTTTTGGAAAATGATGCGACAGAACTTAATATAATAGCAGCAGTGTGCAGCAGAGATTATGTAAATCTTGTGAAGAATCAAGACCTTATAATAACGGGCTAAGGGTTATTTACGTGTTTTTGTGTGTGTGTGTGTGTCCGTCTGTTACGAAATTCGTAGAGCGTGTTCCAGCCAGCGTTTTAAGCCCAAATTTTGCATAGCGCATGCTACCTTCATGAAAGTTCAACGTGCAAAAGCACGAATAGATTCGTTGAATGGGTCCCTCAGAAATTGCGCGCCAAACGGATTTACCTGGCTTCTGTCCCGCAAAATTGGGTCCATATCACCACTTTTTGCAAAGTCCTGGATGTGTTTGGTAAGCAAATGTGCAAGCGATGGACTTTAGCCCAAAAAGTGGTCAAAAGTTTGCTACATAACGAAAACGGCGCCAGAAAGAGTTGGTTGCGTAAATGGTTAATTTGCTAAGGTTCTAGCTAAGCGTTTCAAAAGATTTTCGCACGGAGATGTAGCTCACGGTTACTATTGCCTTTAAGGGGACTACCAAGCCATGACAACTTCAAAAACCTATTCAAATTTGCGTTTGTCTTCCTACGAAAAGTTTCATCCACGCGAAATCACCGATCTCACGTGAAAAAACTTTCTGAATGAGTAGCTGTTTACATTTAATTCGTGGTAGTCGACATAGTGCGGTAAGTTCCATTGCCACGATTTTACGAGAATGAGTAAGGCACATAGATAGTACAGCCAGTGCGAGCCTCTGCGAAGCAGAGGTGACGCACTGGTATGAAATGTGCCTATATTTTTGGCATATTTGTAGACGTAAATAGCCAAGATCCTCATTATTGAAGAGTAGAGAGACTCATGTGACTAACATCATCAAAGACAGAAGTAATGCAAATGGCACGTTTCAAAGCATTCCTTCAAGCTTGAACAAACAATATTGAAAGACAAAAAGAAGATAATTTAGACTGCTCCCAAACTCCGAAGAGGCAAAAACGCGTTAGTTAGGCTAACACCGCTGTTAAATCTCGGTGCTAACTGATCCATAGGCGCTGGAGTACAGCGGCTCAGCCTTGTCACAGTTTGAGAACCAATTATAGCAGTTTTGATTTAGGTAGAGCCATGAAATCACACATAATCCACCGCCTCGAATACTTCGATTACAATGAAGCCACTGCATTCAAGGAAAAATCTAAATTCTAACCTTGAATTTGTTTTGTTCGAGTTCTGTGCGGCTGTTCCCACATAACCTAACTTGAACCACATTAGAACTTCAAATAGTCATTCTCTGTCTGAGTACGATAGTTGGAATCATATATACTCAAATGGAATTCAACATATTTAGGGCACAAACGTATAACCGGAATAACTGCTGGTGCCATATGACTTAAAACACTTCTGTACGCAAGCTAGTACCGTGCATGCATAAATTCAATATCTTCACTCTTACCCGTCCCATGTGCTTGATTATATGGTTGAAGACAATGTAGCTTAGAAAGACTCTAATTCATTTTGTTTGTGGAGAATGGAACCAAGTAAATGCAATGCTTGTACTTAGACGCGGCGCGTATACCTCACAGGACCGCATTGACTGCGTTTACAGAAGTGAGCAAGGCTTACAGAGCTGCGCTTACGTTTCTACACATCTACGCGCGCACAAATCCAATCCCACTTAAGTCTTGCTTCTCTCCCACTCTCAATTAGCAATGAAACTTACCTAAGAACGTTACAAATGAAGTGCTAGAAAATGTACATTTAAGAAGCTCTGCCATTAGAAGTCGGTGAGCTTAGACGAAAAAAGTTTTGGCAATGAAGAATGAATACGTTTTTCGAATAGTTATAGAACTGTTAATGAAATGGTAGCTGCTACGAAAACAATAACTATTGTGTGCTACATATTTGAGCAAAAATCTTTTCAGATTATTGAGTAGAAGATTGAAAAACCGAGGATTTACTCAGCTATCTCTTCTTGGCGCCGTTTGAATGAGAACAGATCTTTTGCCAATTTTTTTGCATCGAAGCTTATGACTCACAGATATGCATGGATACAGAGCCATGCCTTTGCATTAACTGGTAATACAGGCCTCAATATATGGGTCGAAAGCCATGTGGACCGGTTACGCGGGCAGATTTTGAGGGATCCGCTCAATGGATTCGCTTCTGCTTTTGCATATTGGGCTTGACATTTCTGTCAATCTAAGCCCTCGTTCTCGCATAATGATGGCATTGGGACTCACCGAGCGATGTTGACTATCATGAACAAAATGTAAACAACTACTCATTCCGAAAGCTTTTTTATGTGAAATCGGTGATTTCGCATGGATGAGACTTTTTGCAGGAGAACAAACGCAGATTTTCATAGGTTTTTAATTTTCCCATGTCTTGACAGTTGCAATGAGAACAGCAGGCACCGTCAGCTACATCTTTGTGCAAAAATCGTGTCAAATGATCCGGTAGAACCTCGGCAAAATGACCATTCACGCAACCAATACTTTTTGGCGCCGTTTTTGTAAAGTAATGGACTTTTGATCACTTTTTTGGGCCTATGTTCATGGCTTGCACATTTACATGGCATAAACATCCACGACTCTGCAAAAAGTGGAATTACGGACCCAATTTTGCGGCCCAAATGCAAAGTGGATCCGTTTGACACGCAATTTCTGAGCGATCCACTCAACAATTCTGCTCGTGCTTTTGCATATTGGACTTTCTTGCGGGTAGCATGCGCTGTGCAAAATTTGAGCCCAGGAGGTTGGCTGGAGCACGCTCTACGAATTTCGTAACAGACACACTCTTACGCACACACACACAGACACACACACAAAGTCACGTAAACATCCTTAGCCCGTTATTATAAGTTATGATATTACTTCTTACATCGTCTATACAAGTTTAATTCCCTATTTTTTCTAAACTATTTGGTGACTGAACTTGAGCTAACCTACTGGATGTTTTTTTTGTTTTGTTCTTCGTATTTATAGAACTCTCCATGTTCGTATTGTACTTTCCACCCGAAGAATTTCGCATGACCAACAACGACGGAAGCGCGAAGTTTCTCACAGGTTCCTATCTACTGTTTCGTTAGTTGTTAGCTTATCTGTGACCAGTACGTCACCTCTGCTTCGCAGAAGCTCGTCAGCTTATTTACGATATTCTCATGTTTATTGGTGTTTTGTTTATATCCGCTTACATATACATAAGTGGTTGGCATGATTTAGCGAGCACTAATTATGATTTTATGTTTCGTATCTCAACGTTCAATTGTTTCCTTATTGTTTCTTACTTTGGTTACTTCATCATTATCAATTGTATCCTTCTCACATACCTCACAGAGTTCACAGCGAAATCACAGTTCTTCCACAGAACCCCTCAGAGTTAATCACAGGCTACTCGGATGGCATATATTGAACTTATGCTCGCTATGTATTATTTATCGTCGTAGTGCATTATAGTTGTTAGTCGCTTTGAGTTATAAAGGTTTAATTAGCCAAGTTTGAGGTGTGCTCGCTGTGCGTAATCCCGCGTGGCAGCAATCAATCACAGTACACCCACCGCGCACATAACTGACTCACCGACGGTACAACTGGTGCATCGGCCAAATAGAGGTACAATTTCTTGTTAACGAGTAACGCTTTCAACTAACAAGCTGCACGTCACTCACACAGTTAGCACAGTATTGCACAGCGAGTCACGGAAAAAGTCACCTCACAGTTACCTCACAGGTCCCTCACAGTAAGAGTCATAGTTTCCGCGTAACGAATCACAGTATTTTACATAACTAACTCAACTAACCATGAGCAGTACAATAAGATCACTGAAAGGACCCGTCACAAAAAGAAACGACGCAGCGATAAAGTGGCTGCAGGACTCCATCCGAGCGCTCGCAAATATACAAGCCAAGGAAAGCGCAAAGAGGATAAAAACCTGGGAGAGGTACATCGAGCTTCTCAAAATGTCATTGCCAAAGCTAACCAGGGCTTTTGATGAAGATCCAGAGACCATAGAACAGGAGGAGGACCACCTGGACAAATACAAAGAAAAGACCTAGGCAACAATAATGAAGCTACACGAGCACAGGACACGGCTGGAAGAAGCCCAGGAGGACAATATCGGGACTGACACAGACGGCACTTTTAGCCAAGCTGCAGTCAATAGACTCCCGATTATCTCTCTCCCAACATTTACAGGGAAAAAATGGGAATGGGATAACTTCTGGGCCTTATACAAAGCCAATGTCCACGACCAGAACCTAACACAGCTGCAAAAAATCAATTATTTGCTGGCAATCCCTGAGCAGGGCCGGGACGAGGTGGGCAAATGACAAGCTGGAAATCGTTTTGGAGCCAAAAAGCAAAGGGGATATCGTTTTTACGAAATCCGGGGGCGGAGCCCCGGAAGAAGAATCCAAGTGCAAGCAAAAGAAGGTCGAATCATGCTTACCTTATACATCTAATTCATCGGAAAATAGTTTTCATAAACCCCAACGCACCGCAGACTTCTCGCGCACTACGCCGCGTTGCCGCTAATTGCCGTGTGCGCGACGTCGCATGAGCGATGCCGTTGAACAGCATGATTACATGATCAGTTCTCAATGCAGGCGTAATGATATAGCACCAAATTACGTAAGCGAACAAAGAGAGGCTAGTAGAAACAAAGTATGAAATATTATGAAAAAATAAGTGAATGCGAGGTGTAATAAGCATTTTTTTTTCAAAAATTTTGCAAAACTGGTAAATGAAGATGTGAATTCAAATGGCTCGTTTGCGGCGCACAGATGACCATATGAAACTTGGTAGATACATGCACACGGGCCTGCAGGGCTTATCTTAGAAGTTTCATTTGAAAAATTATGTGAATGAAGGTTGTTGCAAGCTTTTTTCTGAAATTTCCCACTATCAAGAAAATGGAAAAATGGCTCGTTTGCAGCGCAGAGAAAACGAAATCGCGCGAGACTTGGTGTGTATACGCGCAGTAGGACTAAGAAATAATGTATGAAAAATTATGAAAAACTAATGTGAATGAAGAGCGTACTTAACTTTTTTTCAAATTAGGTGGCCCACCTAATGACCACCTGAGGTGGGCAAAACTTTCAACTCACATAATTTTTTCAAAATTTTTACACAAATCTGTTGTTCACCTAAAGCTTACTATATGGTGAAATTTTGGTTCCGAAACTCCTCCTCTTTTCTTTGTTAGAGCCCAAAATTCGCTCAGCAGCCTAGCTTTCTAAGATGGAAAGCGCGCCTCAGTCAATCGATACGTGCGGGAACGGCGTCTCTTAGACCTATGACTGCGTTAGAATTAAATAACAACCTTCACAACTGTGTAGCAAGGGGACTAACTACGACAGAACAACGACAGTTGTGGGACAAACTGTCAACAATCGCAGCGCCATCTGCAGTAACTTGTAATTGAATATAAAAATTTGTGCATCAAGAACAGGGCTCGGCACAAGTGGCTCAAGGAGCAAGATGGTTATCGTTTTGAAGAAAAAAGCAAAAAGGATATCGTTTTTGCGGAGTTCGAGGAGGAAAAAATGTATGTACGAGCTTAGTTTGTTGTATATGTAAAGATTGCCGATATCTTCGTGCAAAATCGGAGTACTGAAACAGGAGAAAATATACAAAAATCTTCTGATACGTAAGGCAATTTTGAACTAAATTAAGAAAAAATTAAACGAGTGAAAAACTTCGACGAGTTGGCGAAAACTCACCCAATAACACGGCAATTCTTACATCTCTCCTTGCTCAAAAACAAAATTTATCTCAAAACGGTAAACACATGAGCCGTACACATACATACTCCCAATTTTAGTTATGTGAAAAAAAAAAGTTATGTGAACTGAAAACGTGGCAATTTTTTCGGAGCTGGGTGGCTTTCCCGCCACCTGGACAACCACCTAAGGTGCCTGTGAGTCTAGCTTTCTCTTAATCCACATAATTTTTCCACATATATCACATAGGCCATATATCACATTTTTCTACATCAAAAACCCTACAATTAGCTTTTGAATCTCTCAAACCTCTCTATCTCACCCAGTTGCAGGCCCCCAGATACTTTGTATGGTGGCGACAAGCTTGCAGGCGCGCAGTAGCGCGCGCCGTACACGACATGCCGCCAATTCGGAAAATAAATATTTCAAATTTTTTTCCTTCTGTTTAATGTTTTTTCATCCTTTGTTCCATTATTTTTTCTTACTCGATTGAATTTTCCATGTGTTCTCGTCTTGAAACCTGGGCATCTTCGACTGTAAGTTTAGTGTTTATATTTCTTATGCCGCACAGGTTGGTATGGTGGATCTTTATCGACCTAACGTTTCGAACAACTCGCCTTCGTCGGAGGTCTGAAAAGGATTGTAGTTTACGTACCCGTTGTGCTGTGCCGCCAAACATCTCGTCTGAGTCCGCTTCGCTTGACGTTTTCTCAGACGTAACGTACTGGGAACATCAAATGAGGGCAAACGAACCTTCGGTCCACCAATGAGTCAATAGTCCGCACTAGATCAGTGTGACGGACATCACTGAGCTGTGCCCAGTGAGTCCTGCTACTTATAGTGTGCGGTATCGAGCTCACACAATGATATCAATGGTAGTAGATCACTCGTTATCGTCAGACATTCATTTCTGTTGTTCATACTCGGATTACGAGAGTATATCCACGCCGCTTTAAGGGTCTTTCGTGCTAGAATGTCAGCCTCAAACGCTAGGATGACACATTTAACGCTAAAATCATTGCCGCCGTGCTCTTCAAACTTATGCTTGCCTAACGGAGACAATAGATTTCCCCGCCTCATGTTGGCCAAATGCTCGCTCACTCTAGTACTTAGAGGTCTACCCGTCTCTCCAATGTACGCTGTTCTGCAAGTCAAGCATTCTAATTGGTAGACAGTTCCGGATTTGGCGCAGTCCCCAATTTTCCCGTAAGGACAGACTATGCAGTTCCTTGATACACATTCAACATCATAAACTCTGTTTCTGACCAACCGCCTTTTGATATTATCGCTAGGAATGTCAATCAGCATGACTTCATTTTGCAGCTGTGCTCGCAGAATGCATTGTCTTATGGCCTCGCTGATTTTATCGGAAACAAAGGGTATGCACAAAGGAATCTTGTTGTTCTTGTTGCGCTCCGTAAGACTAATACAATCACAACAGTTAGACTGTCTTTTACGTGATCGTCCTGTTCCAAGCATATAGCCATTACTGAGTGCAATGTCAGCCGCCAATTGTCGTCACTCGCGTCGCTCGTCATCGCCTGTACACATTTCGGTAGCAGTTTTGAACATGTTATGTATAACAGCATGTTTAACTGCTGAGGGTGAGCTGACGTAGCGTGTAAGAGGATGTTTCTAGAGCTTTCCTTTCTGTACCATTTTACGCGAACGGTATTGTTACATAAGCTGACCTGTGTATTCAGAAAAGAAAGCCATCCACCGCGAGGTGTTTCACGTGTAAGCCGGATGTACTGTGATTGCTGATTCAAAATTCGAAAACACTCATCCATTTCGGATTGTGTTTAGGTTACGATACAGCAATCATCGATGTATCGGCAGCACATCGTTGGAAAGCGTGCGAGTACTGGTTTTTCGATCTTACTCATGTAACATATTGCTATGACTGGAGCAAGTCTTTGGCCCATTGCGAGTCCTCTGACTTGAGAGTAGTAATTTCCATACCATTTAAATATGTTACACTTGAGGCATTCTCTGACTAAAACCAGTATGCACTTTATGCTCAAACCAAAGGTGTTGATGTTAGAGTAGTACTTGTCCAGCATTTCCGAGAGCGCTTGCAAAGCATCAACATGGACGTTAGTGTATAGAGATGTTACATCAAACGATTCTATGACACTGTTGGTTCATGTTTCAGCTGTTGTAGCTGCTCAATGAATTGACGTGTGTTAGACAAGTGCGCTGTAACCTTTGTGAGCAATTGGCTTAAGATTTTGTTTAGAAACCAAGATATTCGGTCGGTGGGACCACCTACGCAGCTTATGATCGGGCGAATCTTGTACGTTTCGGGCGACATGGAGCTGGTCTCGTGAGTCGCTACTTTATGAGTTTTCAGCAAGTGATAGAATACGGGACAGTTTGGATTGTTCACTTTCAGTCTCTTCACGAAATTATCATCAAGCCCTGCTGATCTACTGACACTAATCCAAACCTCGTTCAACCTTTTGCACTGTGACTGAAAATCTCTAGAAGTAGCATGTTGGTAAATTGTCGTATCAGATAAATGCAATCGTGCAATTTCTCTGTCTAGACTTTTGGGCATCACTACAAACTCTCCGCCTTTGTCGCTTATCGATAACCGGATAGATCCCTTAGCTAACATATCGCGCATCTCTTTGTAACCTTTCCATTGTTCGCGTGTCAGGTTTGTCTGATGGACTCCCCTGAATTTGTTAAGAACATGTAAGATCTCAGTAGAAAGGATGCGGAACTTTATATCAGGCGCGAGCATGGGTTCGGGTTCTCTATACAATAAGCGAGGAAACGGTATTATTGGCAGCACTGCTTTCTCCGTTGCAATAGTCTGGGTGTTGTCAAGCTTAGCTTTCAATCTCAGTGAGTCACGCACTTTATGTAAATTACCCAAGGCTTTACGGCAGAATGATGCGTTTATGCTTTGCGATATCGAGAAAGATGGACCGAGACTGAGGAACTCGGTAGCATGCGCAGACAAATGAATGTTGCCGATAGTAGTGACCCTCCCAGAAACTTCATTGGTAGCTGTCGAGTCAATAGAGTGGTGGTTTCGAAGGCGACAAACCTAAAACGACAAACCTAATAAGATAAAATCAGCGAGGCCATAAGACAATGCATTCTGCGAGCACAGCTGCAAAATGAAGTCATGCTGATTGACATTCCTAGCGATAATATCAAAAGACGGTTGGTCAGAAACAGAGTTTATGATGTTGAATGTGTATCAAGGAACTGCATAGTCTGTCCTTACGGGAAAATTGGGGACTGCGCCAAATCCGGAACTGTCTACCAATTAGAATGCTTGACTTGCAGAACAGCGTACATTGGAGGGATGGGTAGACCTCTAAGTACTAGAGTGAGCGAGCATTTGGCCAACATGAGGCGGGGAAATCTATTGTCTCCGTTAGGCAAGCAT